AAAAGCAATTTTCTAAAGCAATATTTTTATAAAAACTGAAAAAACAAATATTTTCTTTTTTTTTTCAGTTTTTAGTTTAATTGCTTTAGAAAATTATTTTAGTTTTGTTTCTAGTTTTTACAAAAAAAATATTTTTCTGTTTTTAATTGCTTTAGAAAATTATTTTTCAGTTTTGTTTCTAGTTTTTACAAAAAAAATATTTTAGAAAATAGTTTTCAGTTTTTTTTAAAGCAGATTTTTTGTAAAAACTGGAAAAAAAAATTCGTTTTTTTAGTTTTTAGTAAAAAAATTCAGTTTTTTTTTCCCGTTTTTACAAAAATAATTGTTTTAGAAAATTACTTTTCGGGAATGGGTAATGAATATTTTTAATTAATTATGAGATATTTAGAATTGGCCAACAGGACGATGACACGTGTCCCTCCGTTTAAATGAGGGGTATATTTGAACCCAAAATATAACTGCAGAGGTATAAATAACCTAATAGTATAACGAGTGATATTTTTAAATTATTTTCGAAAATATAGAACTATATTTGGACCTTCGCCGTATAATCATTCGTACACTCGGTAAGAGAGAGAAGTAGCCCTGCTCAAAGCCTTCCGTGTACTGTTCTCATTCTCAGTGGCTCCCACCTTCATCTTCAACTAACTATCACTAATTATGAAACTATGAAGAAACCAAACCTATTAAAAAACTATTAAGTATGCAGTGCCACCACATGACAACTCTGTCTGTGTTGGTGCCAGATGTCTTACTAATATTATCCTCACTGATTCCTCATATTAATGTGAATAGCCAAGCAATGTACCTCTCCCTTGACCCAACCCATAGATCTAACGTTAAAAGTTAAAAGTATTATTCATGAAGTAAATAAGAGAAAATTCTTGTTAAATTTAAAATTCTATCCATGAGACTAGTGGGATCAAAATATCAAATGTGCACTTGAAGTGTCCTATTTGAGCAAATCACCCGTATAAAGATGCATTACATTTGGTTTACAGGTCCAAGTTCACTATTCAATCCTATCTATATTCACAAGGCAAAGCCCAAGAGGAAAATGGAACTAAGAAACTGTATCAAAATAGCATGAGCTAGCTAATTTTTGGGCTGATAATAGAAAATATTTTGCGTTTGTAAAGTTATTAAAAAATAGTCACTATTTGAATTGAAACACCGAAAATTTCAGTATAAACTTTCAGTATATTATATTGGAACTCTAACACATTATAAAATTCCAACACATTATGCTTGATTCTTTATTGTTATTTTACACGTTATTTCTGTTTCTTTTTCCCCAGATCTGCAGACCGACGGATACCGCAGCTGAAGACGAACGAATCAGGAAAATAGTTACTATATATGTTTTCTGAAATAACCCTGTAATAGGCAAATAGAAAATACCAAACTGACCAAAATAGCCTCGTCAGTATGTTCTAGTGCTACTTTGGATGACACTGTAACAATTTACAGAGTGAAACAATTTTTTCTTCGACTACAACTTTGTCATGTATGGTTGAATATTTTTAACCATAAAAAGTTGTAATCTATAGCTCTTTTATGTAGCTTGTAACTACACTAAATTTATTTTTACAATATGAAGAGATCATAATGTATGAATTGAAGCAAATAACTAGAAGGTTTGACTCTCTACTTTGAGCGGTGGAAATCGAAGAGAAACCTGCGCCAATTCAGAAAATGCATTCGACCTGCTAAAATCTGTTTATTACTGATAAATTTAGATCTTCTTCTCTTTTACAACTTGGTTATTATCATAACAAATGTGCATGAGAATGGGCATTCTCGTACTTTTATATATGTTTCAACTTCAATTCCAAACTACGTTGTGAACCGCACAAATATCCTGAGGTGCTTATATAGTTAAACCGTAACTGTCCAACAAAGAAACAACACCAAACACAGAAATTCTAGGATCCCTTTTTTATCGCTTCTCTTGTATATATATATACAGCAAAAGAAGCTTCATTTGTTCGCAACGTCTCTCTTAACAACTCGCCCTGCATTGCAGGGAGGGCAAATTAAATCACATTAACGTCGTTGGACAGAGCGTAGCCAATTTATTTCGTGGAACATCTCCTCAAAAGAATGACGGAGGAAGAGGTAATCAACACCACAATCACCACCACCAACAACAATAAATCTCCACTTAATGATAACATTGACAAACAACCACAATTAAGTGTCAATGGTAATAACGGAGAGAAAATAACCAATACCAAGGAGAAGAAAAAGCAAGGTGCTTTCAGCTTCCTCAGAGCTGCATCGCTCAAGCTGCGCCGTCGATCTATTGATCTAAAGCATCAGAAAATTTCTCAGGTACGCCTACAGAAATCCAACATTAATAAGTGCACGTACATTTTATGCATCATAATCATCTGACTACATAATTTTAATTATCGACACTGCAAACTCTTTTAATACTGTACCTTTTTAACACCAATATTTCATTCTGGTTTGGTCGACAAATCGCTTTCTTTATAGGAGGAAGATGAACTAATTCTTAGCTTTTACATAAAAATCGGCCGAAAATATATTAAGCATATGTATATATGTCAATTCAGAGGCGGAACTAACCTATTAGGTGCAGGTTCGGTCGTATACCTAATCACTTTTGTTTAAATATAGTATTTGTACTAGAAAATTCATTATATATGTATAAATATTTAACTGCGAACCTTGTAACTAAGATGAGCTATGGATTTGGCAAATTCAAAACATAAAAACTTCAAATTCCGCCTCTGTGTCATTCTAGTTCTGTCACCAAAACGCATATTTTACGTATCATATTCTAACATCCGGTTGATTTTAAATTCTGAATACTAAAGGAAGCGGTGCCTACTGTGGATTCAAAAGGAGATAATTGGAAGAAGCTGGTGGGTTCAATGAGGCCTTTACATCTCCAAGACAATCAATCACCGCCAACCAACCACCAGCCGCCGCCGGTGAAATCTCCATCGCCGACGGTAGAATGCTGTGAAAATGTGTCCTCTCCATCACCTTCCACTTCCTCCGCGGGAACCATGAGTCAGTATGCTTCAGCAAATAATCTCCAAGAACTCTACGGTGAAAGCAGCGACGATGAAGAGGAAGATCCGGACCAGGTATTTGATGCAATTGGAGCAGACGAGATGATTGATGCAAAAGCAGAGAATTTCATAGCTCAATTTTACGAACAAATGAGGCGTCAACAATGATGGCAACTCATCAAACACATACAAGGCATGCACGTAAACGTCTAATTTCATTTCATTCATTTTGTAGTATTAACTATTTAATTAATTTTTGCAAAGGCATTATATCTCAGAAATAGTGTAGAAATGTCTCTGCCTTTTGCTCTGATGTCTCTTAGGTTTTTACTGATTAGCTCCAAAGGGAGCAGGTTTTTCTCTACCTTTATAACTTACACTTCGTTTGGAACAAAGAAAATAGTGAAAGAAAAAGAAGGAAAATTAAATAAGTATATTGAATTCTTTCATTATGTTTGTTCTAAATGTGCCTACGGAAAATGCAATGGATTACATTGTAATGAAGGAATATGTATCTGAATGCAAGAGCATTTTTTTGTTAAGATATAAAAGTTGTACTCCTATTTTATTACATACGTATTTCGACATCATTCTCTCTCTAATTTTACGAGGCTTTTTCCCTTTAAACTACTCCGATATAGCAACCAAATAAAGATAAACTAGAGATAAGTTGATACAAATGTCCAAGGCCGATTTTATGACATGTTAAGTTCGTAATATAAAAATAGAAAGTTAAAAAAGGTTAACGTCTTTCTATTCTTTACATACCATTGGGTAACGAATAGTAAAGGCTCAACTCTATAATTGTCCAATCCTAAGTACCAAATGGGTGAATAGAACGAAACGAAAATTAAGAAGAGTTTAGAACGAAAATAAATGTATAACTTTCTAAGCTTTGAGTTCATATAGGTTAACTGAAGAAAAAAGTAGAAGAGAGTGATTAGTACTTTGAGGTAAATTTCTTCCAAATTCCTCAACACTTGATCACGTTTACCTCTCAACTTTCTCCATTTCTTTTCCTTCATATATATTTTCTCATATATCCAGGCACAAGAAAAGAAATTCCATGGAATTACGTTTTTTTTGCTTTAGGAAATTCAGGTCCCAAACTGGGCCTTAATGTATCATGCGATTCGAGTCCGACTTTGTTTTGCAGTCCATTAATGAAGAGCAATAAGTTATGAGTCAAACTATGTTGATTGATTTACAAACATATGTCCAGTGATAATGTCCCCATCTGCTGACTTAGATGTAAGAGAAATCTAGGAAATGCAACTTCTTCTGTTTCGCTTATAACCTGGCAAACAAATTTAATGCTAAAATCAGAGTTGCCTTTGATCCACCCAATCCATGGCCAGTTTGGTCAACTTGAATTCCCAACCAATTACTAAGAAAAAGGTGGCGAATCAAAATCTTATTCATTGCCAGGTTCAGATCAAATGAGAAACATATTGCAAATATACAGCAAATTTAGCCCAGTGTTGGGTGTAATGATCTTCAATTCGGTTTGTTTGTGAGGGAAAAAAAAAAGACTACTGAGATTAATGGCAAATGTCCGTCCATTTTTTTTTTTAAATTGAGAAAATCACTGCATTTACCAATCAAGTAATGAAGTTAACCTATTAAAGTTACCCATATCTGGAAAAAGGATAAATCAATTTCAAATTTTGACAGAGTTGAACACATAATTTCTGTCAAAACTTGAAATTTGAATTCACTGGCAATTTGAATTCCATGGGTTTGATATGCAAAAGAGGCATGAAACGTCAGAACAATAAATGTTGATAAATGACAGGCAAACAAATTAGAATTTCAATTTGAAAAATGAAGCAAAACATTCTAAGTACTATGAAATTAATTAGACCTGTCACCTCTATGTTTCCCACCTTTCTTTGTAAATTTCTTACAACTTCAGAACTCACAACAGATCATATTGAGAAAAAGAAAAGCACCTTATACAGTAACAATAGCTAATTAATAGCCATGGATGATTTCAGAGCATTTATTCTTGAACCACCTCAGTCCATTCCTAATGGAAGTCTTGAACTTTCCTTCAATAGTATACACTTTGTACTTTGCTATTCTCTTTCGTCTCTTCATCTCTGGATCATTGAATCCCCAGGGCTTAGCTGACGATGAAGTTGCTGCTGCCACCTGGCTCGGCCAAGTTCCCTTGCTCGTTACTACTGGTAGATCCGGTGAGCGAGCCCGACTTCCCTGCTGAGGCGAATCTAAAATTTAAACTTAATAGTTCAACTTTAAGGTTCTTAAAAATTATGAGTTCGAAATTTAATATGCGTAACGCTTACCTGGTTGCTGCTGAACCCTTTTCCGCTTACGATCTCTAGTCTTCGGTCGCCGGAGCACCGGAAACTCGGGCGGAGCTCCTCCATATCTGGTGGTAAGACTAGCTTATAAAAGAGAGCAAAAATATAAATTTGTCAACAGGATATACAGAAGTTCAATGATACATTTGGGAATGTGAAATGGTAATATTGTAATAGGAATAAGGAAGAAGGATTCTCCTACTTTCTTTTTGCTATAGTAATTTTAAAATAAGAGAGGTACCTGTAAGATGGAACAGAACTTTAGCTGTAATGGGGTTGTATTTTTTTTCAGATTAGATTCTGTAATGGTGGTCTCCCAGTACTCGATGACACTTTATTTTTTCTGCCACCATATTTTTAAATTGGAGTGGTATGACTATTTCGTACTATGGTTGCTATAATTAATAAGGACATTTCAAAGTGCCTAGGATTTATGATGTCGTGCCAACCTCGATGTTATCGATCTTGTCACCGGAAATTAATCATCTTTCTCCTTTATTCCAGTTAAGAGAAGTCCACGATTATTCTAGTCATTATTCAAAGGTATCCTAAGTGACGATTAGACAGGAGTATGAGATTTTCATGCACCATAGTGTACCGCCCAGCATATTTTCCGACCGAATTTCACGTTTAAATGGCGGCAAGTCGAGCCAAACTTGGCTGCCAAAGACCAGAAGGTCTTTGGAGGCAACAATCCCACGGGCTATCCGGGCCCTCATGGAAGCCACACTCTCCCAGAAAGAACACATACTTCACAGCTGGGTAGGACCCCAGCCAGCCAGGACAATCATGGAGACAACCATCTATCAGCAAAGTCATGTGCTGCACAGCTGGGTAGGACCACAGTCTGCCTGGGCAATCATGGAGGCAACTATCTGCCAGCAAGAACTGGGGCACAGCAGCTGGACAAGACCATTGGCACATGGGCTGCCAACACAATCATAGAGATCAAATGATGCCAGCATAAAGCAGTGCTACATAGCTGGACGGGTCCACTGTCAGCAACTGTGCAGTAGATATTCATTATACATATAGACATGTATATGTCTTGTTAGAGGGCAGATCTCATATACTTGTATTTCCTTCTTTTGTATATGAAGTAAATCCGAAAATTGGTCTTGGCCTCCCAATCCTTGTGTGTATTTCCTTTCATTAGCTTTCCAATCTTTGAGTTTGTGTGATTACCTTGGTTCAAGCACGACATTGTATTTATTTCTTGGGTAGGACAGAAGCAGTCAGGCTATCTTGCTGTCCGCACGGAGCCCTTAGAAAACGGTCATGTGACAAGTGGTATTAGAGCAAAAGGTTATTACCATGGCAACTGATGGAGATAATGTTACCTTAGACAACATTCGTGGGAGAGACGAATCACCAACAAGGAGACCGAAACCAAAGAAGAGAGGGACGAGCAAAGCACGAGATCCCGCCATAGTCGTAACAAGTGAGGTGCCAGCTTTTGAGCTACCCCTACAACAAGTTAGTCGTGGTGAAGATTGTGAGGCTTCTGCCTCAAATCTTTTAGACGTGAGAATGGATCTCACCGAGGCTGGTTTAGCTGTATTAAACCGGCGTATTGAAGTTGTTGAACACAACTTCTGCTCACTTGAGTCTACTGTCCTAGATGAGCTAGGAGACGTCAAAGAGACGTTAGATAAAGTGTTCAAGGAGCACAGGGATGGACTGACCAACCTTGAGCTTAAACTGGCCGAGGTTGTATCATCGTTGCACGGGGAAGTTGAATCCCTAAAGCAACAACTGCAGGAAGCAAGGTTAGCTGGTGGCACTGGACATGTAACAGTGCGTGAAACCAAAATCGAGGGCCCAAAACCGAAGGTGTTTAGGGGTGAGCGAAATGCTCAAGATGTAGAGAACTTCATCTGGAAGATGGAAGACTACTTTGAGCACCTCAGCATCATTGATGAGGCTGCCAAGATCTGGGCAGCAACAATATATCTAGCCGACACCGCTATGCTATGGTGGAGGAGGAAGAAATCCGACATAGAGAAGGGAACCTGCTCCATCAAAAGTTGGGAATAATTCAAGTTCAAACTGAAGCGAGAGTTCTACCCCCAAAACGTTGTCAATGAGGCACGTAGGAAGTTGAGAGAGCCTAGGCAAACAACTTCCATTAGTGAGTACGTGAAGGAATTCACTAAACTCATCCTGCAGATTTCGAACATGGAAAGCGATGACTTGCTATTCACTTTCATAGATGGCCTTCAAAATTGGGCCAAATAGGAATTGCAGCGGTGTCAAGTCCAAGACGTCGATGAAGCTATCGCGGTGGCTGAGTCCTTAAATGATTATAGGTCAGAAGCCACAAAGGCAAGGGACACCAACTTCAAACCGGGTGTAGACCATAGATATTGGGACAAGGGCAAGCAAGTTGCTGCCCCTCACTGTAATTCCAACGAAGAAGGCAACAAGGCATCTCATTGGCGCGACCGGTATAACCAAAGGAAGAAGGAATTTGGTCCCCGCAATGGTTGTTACATCTGCAAGGACCCTAGTCATGGTTACAAGGATTATCCTTCTTTAAAGAAACTTGGTGCCTTAATTGCGGCCGAGCGGAGGCTAATAGAGGAGAGAGTCCAAGCTGCTAAACAAGCCGGGGAAGCAGCTCATCTTGGCAACATGATATTGGGCGCGGTAGTAGCATAAAAGCTTGCTGCCCAAGGGAAGCATGGCATTGCCAAACTAGTTCACTCGTTAGGCAACGATGTGATTGGCAAAGAGCCCCGATCGAGGGAGATAGAATCCCTGTTTGTGGATGCAAGATTGAACGGATAGTCTATCTGTATCATGGTGGACATCGGTGCGACACATAACTTTGTGTCCGAAGCAAAGGCTAAGTCACTTGGCCTTGCATTTGGTCCTAGCAGTTCCGTAATGAAGACCGTAAACGCCAATACCACCAACATGAAAGGAGTTGCCCGCTATGTGCAACTCAACTTAGGAGCTTGGCGGGGAAATGTGAGTTTCTTTATCGCTCCCCTGGATGTGTTTGATCTGGTACTAGGGCTGGAATATTGGGATGAAGTGAAGGCCTCCATCTACCCATATCTGAAGCAGATCTACACTTATGACCCGAAGGGTCCATGTGTGGTACCGACAGTTCGGGTGCCACAAGTTGTTAGTTAGTTGTCCGCGATGCAAATCGTGAAAGGCTTCAAGGAAGAAGAAGCCACAGTTTTGGCAGTCAGGACAGGGACTAAGGAGGACAAGGTTGACGAAGCCTTGCCTCCGCGGGAACAACGAGTCATTAAGGAGAAGGACTTCATACCGGGGGAAAAGCCATCTGCCATGGGTTCGTAAATGGCACCTTTAGAGTTGGAGGATTCAACGAAGCAACCGGAAGAGTTGCTTGAGTCGGGGCATTTCAGTCAGTCAAAGGTACCCTTTGGAGACAAGGGTGATGTGGAGCGGGGACAAATCCAGCCGACCAAAAGTTTTCATAACCCCTTCGGCCGTCGATAAGGAAGTTGAGGCCATTATCAACCATCGAGTGGTACAAGGTGTAGGTCGGGGCAATTCAAGCACCCAATTTCTTTTCCAGTGGAAGGGACAACCACCCGAGAAGGCATCATGGGAAAAATATGAGGCGCTATGGCCGTTCAAAGATCAAGTTCATAATTACTTGAAACTTTGTGGCGCCACGGTCGTCGCCATTTCAAGTGGTGGAGAGTGTACCGCCGAGCATAGTTTTTGACCGAATTTCATGCCTAAAGGGCTGCAAGTCGAGCCAAACTTGGCTGCCAAAGACTAAAAGGTCTTTGCACATGGAGGCAACAATCCCACAGGCTGTCCGGGCCCTCATGGAGGCCACACTCTGCCAGTAAGAACACATGTTGCACAACTGGATAGGACCCCAGCCAGCCAGGACATTCATGGAGGCAACTATCTGCCAGCAAAGGCATGTGCTGCATAGCTGGGTAGGACCACAGCATGTCTGGGCAATCATGGAGGCAACTATCTGCCAGCAAGAACTGGGGCACAATAGCTGGGCAAGACCATTGGCACATGGGCTGCCAACACAATCATGAAGATCATATGATGCCAGCATAAAGCAGTACTACACAGCTGGACAGGTCCACTGCCAGCAACTGTGCAATGGACATTCATTGTATATATAGACATGTATATTTCTTGTTAGAGGGCATATCTCATACACTTGTAATTCCTTCTTTTGTATATGAAGTAAATTCAAAAATTGGCCTTGGCCTCCTATAACGACCCGGCCGATCATTTCGAGAGTTATAACCCTGTTTTCCCTATTCCTACTTCTTTTTGTGTTATTCAGCTATATTATGTTATATCGAGTTAGTTGGTTCGAGTCCGGAAGGAACTCAGAGTGAAATGAGACACTTAGTCTCATAATTAAAAATTTTAAGTTAGAAAAGTGGATCGAATATGGACCTATATATAAACGACCTCAGATTTAAATTTTGATAATTCCAATAGCTCCGTATGGTGATTTTGGACTTAGGAGCGTGTCCGGAATATTATTTGGAAGTCCGTAGAGGAATTAGGCTTGAAATGCCAAAAGTTTTATTTTTGAGAAGTTTGACCGGGGGGGTTGACTTTTTGATATCGGGGTCGGAATCCGATTCCTAAAATTGGAATATCTCTATTATGTCATTTAGGACTTGTGTGCAAAATTTGAGGTTAATCGGACGTGATTTGATAGGTTCCGAAGTTGTTTGTAGAAATTTGAAATTTCAAAGTTCATTAGGCTTGAATTGGGGTGTAATTCATGATTTTAGCGTTGTTTGAGGTGATTTGAGGATTCGAATAAGTTCGTATGATGTTTTAGGACTTGTTGGTATATTTTGTTGAGGTCTCGAGTGCCTCGGGTGAGTTTCGGAAGGTTAACGGATCAAAAATTGAACTAGAACAGTTGCTGCGATTTCCTTCTGTTGGAAATTGCTTCTGCCCAGAAATCGAAGCCCAGATCGAGCTCAGGGTTGAGGGCCACGATCGAAGCCCAGATCGAGCTCAGGGTCGAGGGCCACGATCGAATCCCAGATCGAGCTCAGGGTCGAGGGGCACGATCGAAGCCATGATCGAGCCCAGAGTCGAGGGCCATGATCGAAGGCATGATCGAGCTCAGGGTCGAGGGCCACGATCGAAGCCATGATCGAGCCCAGGATCAAGAACCAGGAGTGAGGGGCCGGACTGAGGACCAGGATCGAGGACCTCGATCGAAGGCCAAGATCGAGAGCCAAGATCGAGGCAGAACCGAGGATGTCTGGGCAAAATTATAAAAATAGGGACTTCGTCCCATTTGCCATTTTTGACAAATTGGAGCTTGGGAAGAGGTGATTTTTGATATATTTTCAAGAAAAACTTGAGGTAAGTCCCTTGTGATTATTTCTACTCCATAATATTGAA